GGGGGGGGGGAAATAAAATAAAACCAAACCCCCACCCCCACCAGCACTGGCAGGGCATGCCACTGTATATAAACAGACAGCAAACCCCGTTCCATTCTGGCACTGAAGATGTGACCTAGCTGGGTAACGAAACGTTTGCAAGAAAACAACCAAGCTCAGAGAACCCCAAGGACGCCACAGTTACATCACTTTCCCCACTGAATGCTGGATCGAACGTGTTTATGCAGGAAATCAAGATGTCACTTGTAGCACCTGGTACTGAGTTTGGCCCGTTGAGTTTTGAGCTGTCTATTCCAAGTGACTCAGCCTGAGATGGAACAAGACTCTTCCGGTGCCTGATCCGTCCTTTTGTTGTGCCCGTCCTTTTGTTGTGCGGCACTCAATGCTGACTTCCATAGGAGCCAAGAAGTGGGAGGCATGCTAGTTTTCCTTTCACCAGAAGCAGGATTTCCTGATTGACTGGCTGGTGGTGCCCCGTATCAAGGCCTAGGTAGCACAGCAAGATCAAGGAAGCAAGGCCTACACGGAGTTCAGGAAGGAATCTTTCATGCTGATCTGGGGTAAACACAGAATCTTGGAAATTGCAGGAGAAATTTCCCCTCCCTCATTCAGTGGATTCATTAAGGCTTTAATGTTATGCAATGCTTCTTCCCAGCTTCCTCTCTACCTGGGCTGAGCAGTAATCTATGTGTTTGCTTATTGGATTTGTAAGAGCACTCAGCTTGTAATTTATGATTTTGGGTGGCATAAAAGCAATATATAAAACCACAACCATACATACATAGCCAAGGCTGGACATAACAGTCGCTCCCTTTCCTAACCCAGCAGGCTTGAGTACCATCCTGGCCCAATGCCCAGAAGAAAGGGTCCAGGCCCCCTGCATCTTGGGGGAGCTTTGTCCAAAGAGCAGGTGCAGCAACAGAGCAGGTATTTCTCCTAGGTCCCATAGAACTGCTTCTTCCCAGGTTTGTATGTGGGAATTGTCTGTCTGCTTTCCCTTCCCCTCCCTTCCCAGCCTCCCCATTATCTCTCACACCCACCTTGGTTCATGTGGCATTTAGCCCTTGCAGAGACTCAGGTTCAAGTTACCCCTGTCCTGATGCTCTCTGCGTGACTCTGGGCCAGTCCCTCTCTCTCTCTCCTTCAGTGGCTGCATTCACACACCTGCTTACCCAGGTCAGTTCAAGCTGCATTCGTACCACTTGCACGCTTGCTTAGTTTTAATTTTGGTTAAACGTTTGCAGTGACTGGGTGTGCTAGACGGAGCCAGCTCATTTTGTTTAGGAAAAAAATTGTATGCAGTGTGCAAATCCAGAACGTGAATTCGTTTAGTAATCAGGTGAAACATGTTGTGTGAAGAGCATCAGCAAGGTGGTGGGTGGGAACAAATAAGGAGGGACAACTCCCCCCCTTTCCGCTCATAATTGCACAGAGAAAAGGCAAAATACAACGACAATAAACAGATCAAGATGAATTTTTGTTCTTGATATGTAGGGTCTAGGTAGGAAACTTTAGGTCGCCTCTAAAGTTTTTCAGGTTCAGCCCAGTTACATGGAAAGCAGTGACTCACTTGGAAAATTCTCTATCAAAATATGATGAATCTTTTAATTAATCAAAATAATAGCTCCCAATTTTTATAGGATCTCTCAGCTAGACAGTGGTTTTCCAACATTCTGCAGAACAATGTCCGGAAAATCCGCAGCGCTATATTGCTGGAATTATTTCTTGTGATATTAAATAACTACACACATACGTAAGTCGCACATTCCCATGTGCTTCCTTGGCTAAATGTTGCTTATGCACCTGGGTCAAGCTGCCTGCTGAGTTGCACACCACAGTAGCTGCCAAGAGCATCTTTGAATACCACCCCCATCTCCCCCAGGATGCTGGGAACACTTACCAGATGAAGTAAACCAGGATCAGGAGCTGGATCAGCCTGTAAATGATGCCTAGGTTATGGTTCTTCACCACAATCATTTTGGGGGTCTCATAATTCCAGAAGTCCCTCCAAAAACTTCCAAAGCCCGTCATGACCCTTCCTGTGCTGGAGTAGGCAGACGACAGGCAAATTCAAACCTCTGGCCACTCTTGATGTCTTTCCTTTTAAGGGTGAGGAGGCCACATTTCCCACAAGTCGTTCTGAGGATTTTGCAGGGCTACAACTTCACAGGGAGCTGATGTACGAGCAAGAGGCTCTCCGCCCTTCGCTTTACATACTGGCCCACCCAAGGGAAGGGTTCTTTCAATGGGAAGCTGTCGGATTTACATATCCCGTGCCTTTGTCTCCTGCAATCAGTTGATCCCTGGGGCAGGAGTGCCCTCTGTTGCCACAGAAGAGCAGCACATCACCCGTCCACGACTCACCCTCCATAATCTGCACAGATACCTGCAATGATTATGCGCCAAGTCGGTGTCAGTACGCACCCATATGGCCATATTCCCTTCCCAAGACCATCTGGAACAGTGTTCTTTTTTCATTTTTAATGAGCAAAACCTCATTGTTCGCGTTGTCTGATTCCATTCAGTAACATTTATTCATTTTTCTGTCTCATAGAAACTTTAAAGCTAAATAAGCAAACCCAGAATGAATGTATTGGTTTAGCTTTGGCAACTAAAGGAAGTAAGGAAGTAAACAAATCAATGGGATACAAACTAAAATTAAAACTTGCTTTAATGCCTCTCTTTTCCCCTGCATCCAATCCATCAATGGAGCAGGCATACAATGGAGAGATTTCATCAATACCTGGAGAAAGACCATATCTGAATGCGTTGAATGATAGAATCCTGGGGTTGGAAGGTATCTAGGATAGGTATCTAGGTATCTAGGACCAGAAGGTATCTAGTTCAGCCCCTGCCCAGACAGGAATCCTCAGACCATTCCAGACAAGCGGCTGTCCAATCTTTTCTTCAAAACCGTCAGTGATGGAACAAACATGGCTACAGGAGGCAGGCTCTCCCGTTGCTTCATAGCTCTCACAGTCAGGAAATTCCCATTTCAAGTTTGGATCTTTCCCTGTAAGCTTCCACCCATTATGGATTTTCCCACCTACTTCAACTTTGGCCTATGGCAGGGTTCCTCAACCTTGGCAACTTTAAGATGGGTGGACTTCAAC